TTACGTGTCCGACGATGCGGGTGTCACTTGGAAGAAGGCTCTCGATGGCCCCCACAAGTACGAGTTTGGTGACCAGGGCTCCATCCTGGTAGCCGTCAAGGACTCCAACAAGGAAGACGTGGGAGAAATTCAATACTCCTTGGATCACGGCGAGAATTGGAAGAAAGCCTCGCTCCCGGATGATCTGAAGATCAAGCCCGAGCTGATCACAACAACACAAGACTCGACCAGTCTCAAGTTCCTTCTCGTTGGCCGGACCGGTGGCGATAATGCCAAGTACCATATCATTGCGATTGACTTTGAGGGCCTGCACGAGCGAACATGTAAGGACGACGACCTGGAGGACTGGCACGCCCGCCCCGATGCCGATGGCAAGCCTACCTGCCTGATGGGCCACAAGCAGACGTACCGCCGCCGCAAGAAGACGGCCGACTGTTTCATGAAGCAGGAGTTCAAGGACCCCGTTCCCGTCACCGAAGACTGCGAGTGTACGGATGCGGACTTTGAGTGCGACTACAACTTCGTCAAGGATGGTGACAACTGTAAGAAGGTTGGCCCCATCGTCGCGCCTGACAATGCCTGCAAGAATGCCAAGCCGGACGACACGTTTAAGGGCTCATCAGGCTGGCGCAAGATCCCAGGAAACACTTGCAAGCGTAAGAGCGGCGCGCAAAAGGATGATGAAGTTGAGCGAAAGTGCTCCGACATTGGCGGCACTCCCAGTGCGCCTGCTGATGGCAAGATTAAAGCGGTCCAGCACGTCTTCAAGACAGACCTGAAGGACTTTGAAAAGATTTACTTGGAGAGGGGCGACTCGAGCACTGAGGCTGACGAGACCATTCTCGTCCGACCGGTCGAGTACGCCGGCAACAGCATGCGAGCCGACAAGCAGATTTGGCGAACAAAAGACCACGGCAAGACATGGGACAAGATTCTTGAAGACGAGGAAGTGCGCGGCATCTACCCCCACTACTACTTCAAGGACGCCGTGTTCTTTACCACCGACTCCAAGAAGGTCCTGTACACGATCGATCGCGCCGAGCATTTCCACTCTTTTGAGGCGCCCACGAAGCCCGGAACGAGCAACCCTCTCTCCTTCCACCCCGACAAGAAGGACTGGCTCATCTGGATAGGCGAGAAGTGCGAGAAGATTGATGGCAAGGACCAGTGCTTCAAGGAGGCGTCGATCTCCAGGGATCGCGGTGATAATTGGAAGACGGCCATGCGCTACGTTCAGAAGTGCGAGTTCACCGGTCACTCGGCCTACAAGTTCCGCGATATGCGCCAAGTTGTTTGCCTTGCCCACAAGCGCGAGGACAATGAGAAGGACAACCCAAAGGTCATCGTCTCCAGCAAGGACTTCTTCGATGAGGACAAGCAATTCCATCAGTCAGATGTGAAGGACTTTGCCACCATGGCCGAGTTCATCGTCGTTGCCGCAGAAGATAAAGAAAAGAATGGTCTCCGTGCTCTTGCCAGCTTGGACGGCGTCAGCTATGCTGAAGCACACTTCCCCGTCAACTTCAAGCCGGGCCACCAGAATGCCTACACAGTACTAGACAGCTCCACGCATGCTGTGAACTTGTTCGTGGCCACCGAGACTACGGAGGGGCGCCGGCAGGGAAGCATCATCAAGAGCAACTCGAACGGAACGTCATACGTCATGAGCGCACAGGCTGTCAACTGCAATGATGAATACTATGTGGATTTCGAGAAGATCACCGGCCTCGAGGGTGTCGCACTTATCAACACCGTCGCTAACAAGGACAAGAAGAACGAGCCGAAGAAGGTCCAAACCCAAATCTCTCACAACGACGGCTCGCAGTGGACTTTCCTTCCTCCGCCAAAAGCTGACATTGATGGCAAATCTTACTCATGCAGTAGCAGTGAGGGCGATGAGAAGTGTGCGCTGCATCTTCATCATTATACCGAGCGAGCGGATAAGAAGAAGACCTTCTCCGCTGCTACCGCGGTTGGACTCATGTTTGGCTACGGCAACGTGGGCCCGAATCTGGGCTCTGTCAAGGACGCCGATACCTTCATGACGACTGATGCCGGCATTACCTGGAAGAACGTCAAGAAGGGTGCTTGGACCTGGCAGTACGGTGACCAAGGATCCATTGTTGTCCTTGTTCAGCGGGCCAGCCGCGAGAACCCAGTCAAGACGAAGACTATTCAGTACACCACGGATGAGGGCAAGACCTGGAAACCGTTCGACTTCACCGACAAAGAAGTCACTGTCTTGGATATCTCAACTCTCCGCTCTGGAGCCTCGCGAAACTTCCTCATCTGGTGCAAGGACGATGGTGGCGAGATGTTCTCTGTCAACGTTGACTTTACGGGCTTGAGCGACCGCCCCTGCAAGAACGACGAGAACGGTGACTCTGACTACTATCTGTGGTCGCCCAAGCACCCATCGCAGCCCGATGACTGCCTCTTTGGACACGTTTCAAAGTACCTGCGCAAGAAAGACGAAGCGAACTGCTACAATGACCTCAAGGTCCAGCATCTCTACCAACTCCAGAACTGCACTTGCACCAGGGCCGACTATGAATGGTACGCACATCCCCACACCTTAGTATTCGCACGCACTATGGCTAACAACTGATTCACAGCGACTACAACTTTGAGTTGGATGGCCACAAACAGTGCAGTCTTGTTGAGGGCAAATCTCCCATGTCGGCTGAGCAGTGGTGCAAGGAAAACCCCGATGCTGTTGAATACTACGAACCCACCGGCTATCGTAGAATCCCGCTCACCACCTGCGATGGAGGCCAAGAATTCGACAAGCAGGCCAACGTCCACGCCTGTGCCGGTAAGGAAGAGGAGTTTGAGAGGCGGCGCAGAACGTCTGGCATTGCAATCTTCTTTGCGGTTGTCATCCCCATCGGACTCGCAGGAGCCATTGGCTGGTGGGTATACCAGAACTGGAACGACAAGTTTGGTCAGATCCGGCTGGGCGAGTCGCCGAACCTGGACAACGACGCGCCGTGGATCAAGTACCCGGTCATTGCCCTGTCGGCGGTGGTTGCCGTCGCGGCGGCCCTGCCGCTCGTCGCCTCGGCGCTGTGGAGGCGCGCCACCTCTGCTTACGAGAGTGTGAGCGGTGGAAGCAGGGGCAGCTGGCTCAACGGGCGGGGCAACCGCAGGTTCACCACGAGGGACAGTTTCGCGCGGGGCAGAGGAGATTACGACATTGTCGACGACGACGAAGGCGAGCTCCTTGGTGACGATAGTGACGAGGACGTATGAATGGGTTTCTTATGATTGGGGGAAGGGAGAGCAATGGGCTGCTCGCGGAAGCCTCTTTTACTAAGAAGTAAACGCGGCACCTAAGCGTATCTGTGACACTATTGTTTACTGTTGGATTTTGGAGTGGATGGGGCTATCAAGTAGGGCGGGGAATTAGGCAAAGGCTGAAAGAGAACATTGGTAGACCGAAATCTTTCCTTAGAATGTGTATTTTCTAGGCATGGCGTTGATTTTCAAGCCCGTTTTGGTTCTCACTTTGACGATTGACATGCGTTTACTGGAGTTATGCGCATCGTGACCTTCAAACAATGTTTATATACGGAGTATACGCACTAGCTATGGAGTATGAAAGTGGACGTTGTTCTGAATTTACTTTGACCTTGACAGCGGGCAGACAGCGACGCGGAAGTGCCGAAATGATCGGCAACCGACTCGTGCGTGCTCCAAGATGGGCTACGGAAGCTTTCAGATTGTTTGTCTACGATACCTAGGCGAAGAGCGCCCAAGACTGGGAGCCCGGAAGTCGGAAAGAGCGGATATTTCCGGCTGCCCCGGGCCGGGGGGGACTCGAGCCCGTCAACGGTCAAGGACAGGAACCGAGAGCTTGCCCCCTTTTTTCTGGTGCCTGGTGCCAAAATCTCTCTCTGCTCTATTCGTAGAGGCCAGGGGCCTTGCGTGGTGGGGATCGTGAGTCGTGACCGAGTCGTGGGCTGGACTTGCGGAGCAATAAGATGAAGTTGTGTCTTTTGGCGGTCTGGGTCTGGTTTGCTTAGGGTTCTATGTGATCTATCTCGAAAGCGAGATGTTCAACGGGGTATTATCCTTACGTATCCGTTGAAGTCTAGAGCAACTGAAGCTTACGGGGTACATAGAGCACAGAGTCGAAGGAAAGGGGGGGGGGGATGGTGATCTCTAATGGGCTGGACTAGGTGATTTGCATACGGAAAGAAAGAGGTCAAGCTTTTGGGATCTTTGACACTGATCTGCTAGGCCACAATTTTGACAGGTAGAACTCCATGTTCATCAATTCATCTTGCTACAGTTCTCGCGGCCATGTGGGAAGATGTAGCACGGTCAAACGAACAAGACCGTAGTGGAAAGAGATGAGCAAAACATTTACTCAAAAGAGGTTCCAGCCCAGGTCAAGTCTGGAAACTTCATCTCTTGACTCCTTCTCCCGGTACCATTTCGACTTGGCGCTGAGAGTCGATGGCTCTGATGGGAAATTCGGAAGATTTTGGTGAGATTAGACAGTCTTCACTATGCCAGCTTGGGGAAATAGATCTGCATAATGTTTCCTCGGGTTGGTTGAATGGGTTGTCAAGGTTCACCAGACACGTTGATCGCTGGCAGCTTGCACGTTGCACGCATTGTGCAGAGACCGGGATGTTGCGTTGTCGGCCATAGACCAACTTGCCAGCATTTTGCTTCTTTGGCGAGTCTTAGGCCTCCCGGGGGTGAATACGAGAGGGTGGTGGGGATCGCGAGTCCCCGCCCGAAAAGAGTCTGGTTCAGCTCGGCATTTTCTCTGGGGGGATGAGGCGGAGATGGGCGAGTGGGAGAGGATTCAGCGCAGAAGGAGGCCAAGGCTTGAGAGTTGAGCAGAAGCTGGCCAAGCTGGAAAGCAAAAGCGAAAAAAAGGGGTTGCGGGAAATGGGATCCACAACTGACGACGGGGTGCTTTTTTGTGCAGTGATTTGCCCTTCACAATTAAGCGTGATTAAACATTTTAGACTTGTGCAGGAGTGCTACCTTACCTGACCACGTGCTGACGTAGGTACAATACCGTCGTTACTTGAGGCTTGCCCACGGTCTGTCAGATTGTTCATGTTCCTTGGCCGTTGCGGCAAAAGGCTCTTCTTTATTTTCAGATTTTGGCAGTTTCCGTTTATATCAGAAGGAACAGAAGGAGGCTGCGCACGTGCCTGAGGACTGTCCAAGTCATTGAGGCGCTCGCTCGCGTGCGGTGGAGAGAGTGTGTGCGCTGGCTGAGCTTCATGATGGCGTTCCTGGGCTTGAAAAGATTGTAGATTCGTCTCAACGGCCATCGACGATTCGACATAGATATCCGCAGTGTATAAAACGCAAACTTTGTAGCCTCGTTGAAGATCCCGCATCCCGAGATGCGCTCCCAAGTCTGTGTTGCCGTACAGATGCATGTGGAGAGAACCGTTCGATGATAACAAGCCTCCTGGCCGTTGGAGATCCACCCCGCATAGCAAGAAACTTGGAACAACCAAAGACAGACTGCGGCAGACAGAAAGCAGTTGTTCGTAGATTAGTTGCGAGGTGAACGGTGTGTTTCGACTACCTTTCTCTGGTGAGGCGTTTTTTAGTGCTTCAGATAGTCTAGTGACTTCAGAGTCTAGTTCGAGTCTCGCGCGCCAGTCTACTACAGTATCTGGGTGGTCGGTGATCCAGGTCGCCTGAAAAGTAGACCGTCGGGTTATTTTCTGCCTCCGGACGGGCCTTGCATCTGGCAGATGCAGGTACGAATCATCGGGCCAAACTATGCCTGATTAGAGAAGTATGCACACCTCAAGGCTCACTTGCATACCACCTCGAGCATCTCGTGACCGCTATCTCTTTCGGTGACGCGCCGTCGATTTTCTCTAGCAGACCATAAGATTGCTTCCGGGAAGCTGTGATTTCAAGAAACGAAGGGTGCAGATGATCCATCAAGAGACATCAAATTTGCCGCCGAAGCGCGCCGGGCGATCAGCCACGAACACGAGGTCCAGAATCCATGGGATGGCGGGGTGCATTAACATCCGCAAGAAGTCGGGATTGGCTGACAGCCTGATGTATGCGTACGTTGTATTCCATAGTGGACGGTTCATCGGAATTGTCGCGCTTGGAGATTGAAGAAGACGATGGATTGACCAAGCCAGACGAAACGGCGTTCTCGGCCACTCGAAGAGTCGAATCTCATTTCATTTTTCTTTCCTAATTCGTACGGATCATCATCATCGCAATCAGCGTAGGGCGGAAGAGTTGTACGGAAGTTAGGAGGCCCGGGCGACGGTTTGTGGTTTCTTCGACGGCCCATGCAGGAGCGGCGGGAACCCTTGTTGGAAGGGCCCCCCTTCTTGACGATACGAAGATGAACTGTCATCAAGATTATTAGCCTGATACCAATGAGAGGGCAAGAGACTCGAGACTTAGCATTGACCTTGCTGCTCGAATGGACAGCGCCAGGTCTGAGGTCACCGGTGCAAGGAAACAACGGGCGGCGCGACGGTGAGGTGTACAAACTAGTGTAAGTACCGTGTGACTGACGGTGAGGTGTGTTCCTGGATTACTGGATGGACCGGGGGCTAGCGTAAACAGTAAACAAGCTTGGCATGGGCGCAAAAAAAGAAGGTTCCCTGGCTGGGAAAGGAGGAGCCTGGGGAGTCAAGACTCGCGAGTGGGAGGTTCATCTCATTTTCTGGGTCTGCTGCTTGGGAAGTGTCCAATGTCGCTTAGCTAATTTCCCGGACGCACCACTCGCTCCTCCCCCCTTCTCAAGTTGCTCCTCCAGCTGGGAGGCAACTGCAGCTTACAAGGTCCAACTCGCTCCTTCCCCCCCGCCGCACCCGCCGATCCCTCCCCAATCAGCCATCTCAGTGGACTTCGCACCTCGGGTACCTTGCAGCTCCGCCTCTGTTAGCTTCTACAATGCAGTACGTACACAGTAACTTACCTTACGGTCTGCATCGTTCCTGCACATCCAAAACCCGTTTTATACTATTGTGTGAGTGTACTCCGTACGGAGTAGGTGGGAAGGTGAGAAAGAGAGACATTATGGTGTGGTATTCACCTCGTGCTCACCGTCGAACCGTTCCTTCTTCGTTGCTTCTTCTGGCCCTCCGCCACTGGTTGATGCAAGACTCAAGAGAGCCCAGCCCAGGCTGGATTCTTTCTCGAACCACATACCCTCAGTCACTAATAAACGTCGAGCCCCATTTCACTACACCATGTCTCTCAATCCCCTCCAAGCCCAGACTCTCTCTCAGTCTCTCTGGCACTTCCAGGCTCCGTCGACGGTGGATTCGGTTGGACCGTTGGCCAAGTCCCCTTGACCACGCTTTTACTCGCTCATTTGCTGTCGTGTCCGCCTCTGGACTGGATCTGCTTGGCCTTCCCGCCTTGCGGTCTTCCAAGAGCCCAAAACGACAACCCCCCAACTATGCTTAACCGGGATGGCCATTTCGCCTCCCTTTTCCTTGCCCTGCCAGTCTGACAGTCATTCATGACGAACCGTGGCCAAGGTGCTTCTGGTCATCTCTTTGACTCGATTACAAGCCCAGTCAAGATTGCCAACCCGTATCCTTTCTTCAACCCCCTGACCGAAGCCCTCTCTCCGGATGGCAGCGTCTCCGTTGTGATCCTCAACCGACAGAGTCTCTTTGCTTTTCCCGAATCCCATAGTCCCGATAATCCCCAGACACTCCACCAGAAGTCTGGGACTCTCTGAAGCTGAGATTCGTTTCTGGCTCCTACACAGTGGTACCTCTCCACCTCCTTGCCCCTCAGCTTTTCTGTCGTGACTTGCTGCCGAGGACAGGGGCTTGTTTGCTGTCGAGTTGCTGCTTGTATCCGTAAAGGAACACAAGAAACCCCTCAGTTTGAGTTGAGGTAGTGTTGCTCCTACACATTGCCCAATGCTTCTTTATCCCGCAGCCATTAATAGTTCGTGGTCACCAACCAACGGCTCCCCGACTTTCATAGTAAACATAGTGTCACCAGCATCATGGAATACACAAGACGAATACACACACAGAGTCCCTCCAGTCCCCCCTCCTCCTATGCCAAACTGCCAAACTAATGGCCCGATGCCATCCAACGTAAGGTCATTGGACGCTAGCCTGCCCGCACTTTGGCCCATTCATCCATCTGGAAGTGGGCACACACACACACACCGTTCACGCACACACCCCGGCCCAGGGCCCCCAGGGACATGCTAGACTTCTCATGGTCGTACCCATGAAAGTACGGATACTAGCCTTCTACCTAATCTAACCACCATCACAATAATAACATCCCGGTCCCGCCAGTTTTCTTTCCTCCTCTTTCTCTTTCCCTTTTCCTTTCCTTACGAAAACACCGTCAAATGAGTTGATGCCGTCAACGTAGTTTCGTCGTCCCTTTCGTCTCTACACGCGCAAACCTTCACTACCGCTTCACTCTTTTAGCGGGCACTCGCTTCCCAAAGTCGAATAATACTCAATTCCCCTACTCAAGAAAAAAAGGCAACTTAATTCACCATGAAGGGCTCCATCCTCGCAGTCGCTGCCGCGACCGTCACCGGTGTCACCGCCGCTGCTCACCGTCACGCCCACGCCGACCTCTTCAAGAGAGGTGCTGACCAGGCCTCCGTCTGTGTTCCCGGCTGCACCACCATCTACACCACCATCTACGGCGAGCCTACGCGTATGTATCCCTCTCACTTCCACCCCCAATTACTTTACGAAACCATTCTTGCTCTATAGCCCTGTAGAGTCTTGGAATGCGGAGGTGAATAAAGCTGGTATCGATCTTCTGTGCTGACTTGATGATCAACAGTGGTTCCTAACCCTCCCAGCAAGCCCAGCAGCAAGTCTGTCGCCAGCGCCCTTCCCTCGGCGCCTGCGACCACCAAGGCCGCGGAGAAGCCCACGTCCACCGCGAAGCCCGTGGTGCCCGTCCCGACTCCGGTCCCTGAGCTCTGCCCTACCCCGGGTACCTACACCTTCCCGGCCACGACCATCACCGTGAACCAGACCACCACCGTCTGCGCTCCCGAGACCACCAAGGTCCCTGCCGGTGTTCACACTATCGGTGGTGTCACCACCGTTGTTGTCGAGGCCACCACCGTCGTCTGCCCGTACGCCACCGAGAAGACCAAGAGTGGTGTTGTCACCAGCGTCATCGAGACCACCACCTATGTCTGCCCTACCCCTGGCACTTACACCATCGCTCCCACCACCACGACCGTGACCGCCCCGACCACCTGCGTCTACCCCGTCGTCACCGAGATCGTCCCCGGTACCTACGTTCGCCCTCCCGTCGTGACCACCATCACCGAGACCAGCGTCGTCGTTGTCTGCCCCTTCACCAGCCAGAACCCTGTGCCCACCAGCAGCTCCGTCCCCGTCGTCGTCCCTGCTCCCGCGCCCACCACTGAGGCCCCCAAGCCTGCGCCTACCACCGAGGCTGCCAAGCCCACCACTCAGGCTCCCGCTCCCGTTCCCACGACCTCCGCTGTCGCTACCCCCGAGCCTGTTCCCACCACGGCCAAGACTTCCTCTGCTGCCGCTCCTTCCTCCTCTGCCCCCGCCACCGGCGGTGGCCTCGGAGGCAACAACGGCGACCACTGGGCCATCACCTACACTCCCTTCTCTGAGGATGCCTCTGGATCCTGCAAGACCGCCGACCAGGTCGATGCCGACATCTCCACCATCAAGAACTCCGGCTTCCGCACCGTCCGTGTCTACTCCACCGACTGCAGCACCCTCGAGAACGTCGGCGCCGCCTGCAAGAAGTACGGCCTCCAGATGATCATTGGCATCTTCGTCAAGGAGTCTTGCGACCCCAACTCCGCCGACATCAAGAACCAGGTTGACGCCATCACCGCCTGGAAGCAGTGGGGCATGGTCGAGCTCGTCGTCATTGGTAACGAGTGCATCTTCCAGGGCCGCTGCTCCGCCAGCTCCCTGAAGCAGCTCATCGTCTCCACCAAGGCCGCTATCACCGCTGCTGGCTACTCTGGTCCCTACACCACCGCCGAGACCGTCGGCGTCTGGCAGCAGTCTGATGTCATCTCCGAGATCTGCGACGTTATCGACGTCGTCGGAGGTCAGATCCACCCCTACTTCAACGCCGAGACCGCCGCCACCGACGCCGGTACCTTTGTCAAGGGCCAGATTGAGCTCCTCGAGAGCTCCCAGATCTGCGGCACCAAGCCTGCCTACAACCTCGAGTGCGGATGGCCCTCCGGCGGTAACTGCAACGGTAAGGCCTGCCCCGGTACCTCTGAGCAGGCCACCGCCATCGCCTCCATCAAGGAGCTCGCCGGTGGAAAGACCGTCTTCTTCTCTTTCCACAACGACGAGTGGAAGGACCCCGGCACCTGCGGTTGCGAGCGCACCTGGGGCTGCGGTGACCTCTTCTCCGCTTAAAGAGAATTAGCATCACGAGACCAGGAAACAAGAAAGGGAAATGGTGAACAACAAATGGATAGCCCCCCCAATTATTTTCTAATTCAACGTTCGGCATTTGAACATACAAAAGAGATTAATCCCTCTTCCTTCCGACGTTGCTTTGAGGTGTACCCATGAATCCAGATAAAAAGACAAAGAAAACCCCCTTTTCCACCGAAGACGATTTGCAACGTTTCCCTTTCAAGTGTACAATGACAATTGGATACCCCAAACAGTAGAGGACTTCGAGTGATCCTTTCTCCTTGCGGTCTCGAAATCTACATCTATATATATTGCCCTTAGCTTAATTATCTCTATATATATATGTATATGTAAGCTCTGTTTCGATTCGCGTATGGGAGGACAGGCCAAGTCCTCCAACACGTGTTTGTATAAATCAATACCTTCATATATCTCGGAAGCGCCATCGTTAATGTAGTGCCCAAGACTGGACTTGCACTCGCCCAAACACAAATTCACGCCTAGGCGTCATTCGTATCTCCATGGTCTCCCGCAACTGATTTAGAATCCAATACACAAAGTTCACAATTGCACCTCTCCATCACACACAACTCCATCTCCCTGCCTTGCTTTGAGGGGAGTGTCAACTATCAGTACCAAATTTTCAAAGAGCAAAAGGCAAAAGAGAAACAGACAAAAGTGCAAAGATACCATCTCTAGCATGACGTTCAGTTGAACCCCCGCTCCCAATCTTGATCTCATCTTCTCTCGTCCGAACTATTGGTCCGTGAAGTGGAACTCTAGCTGGGACGTTTCGCATGCCTCACGTGCCTACATAATGTCCAAGAAGGAGAAATGAGATGAGGGGAAGAAAGGAAGACAAAAAACACACAAGCATATAGAGCCATAACGCACATACGAACGAGAGCAAGGTCATGAGAAGTGGTATTTCGTCAACGTCTTTATCGGGATATCTTCCGGCCCTCCCCGTCGCCTTCCCCATGGATTAATCCTAAATCCCCTCTTCCCCTCCCTGGCCTTTTCATGGAACCCATCGTCTAGTTAACAGACCGAGCCATAAAAATACTAACTCCCCAGAGAATGAAGCCAAAATGCTGAAAGATCCCAGGCACCGAGGTTTTGATCCATCATGTTGAGAAAAGATGTAATGTGTATCCGCGTGTCCCGCCCTGCCAAAAAGTAATGCAACCAGAAAACCAATGTCGGTTTCTACGCACCCAAGTAAAAAACTGACACGTCCCTAGTAAGGATATCGCGGACAGGAAGAAGAACCGAGAAAGCCAGCAGACACCAACCGATGCCTTGCGTCCTTTACCTTCCCCACCGTCCCTCCGTAAAGTCGTTAAGAAACCCTCCATGCAGTATGAACAGTGAATACGCTGTGCTGAATGTCAAAATATGAAGAAAGGAAATGAAGATGATGCTTGTAGAAGTCTCGGACCCTGGAAATGTTTTCCTAACCGTCTTCTCCCAAGGCCAGCGCACCAAGGCACGGGCACTGTCTATAGGTCGAACACACACACACACACACACACACACACACATATCAAGTGTGAGCAAGTCGAAGGCTTGAAAGCCAAGGTAGAGCTCGCGGGTTAACGCCAAATCGACCAAGTTTGCCATGACACGCCGGCCGAAAC